CCTGCTGTGCGGCTGGCCTTCAAGACCATTAGACTCCAGTGGCGGCCGTGCTAGAAAGTTTTGTGTGTTTCTTTGCTGGGTACAGAGTTTTTAAAATGCATTTCTAGCCAGTGTTTGGTTAGCAGTTTCCAATATTCCTTGCAGTTGCTGTGGAAAAGGTGTTATGTTGTGTGGACAGGTTTGTTCTGGATGGAGAGGTCTTTTGAAATGCCAGCACGTGTCCGATCTAACAGAATATGTTTGAGCTTTCCTTTTTGTACTGCTCACTACTGATTAACTGGAAGGCAGAAACACAAAGGATAGCCGTGCCAGTGGAGAAGGTGTATTCCAAAGCCTGGCGCACAGCATATCCCAAGCCTCTCCCAAGTATCAGCAGCAAACGTGGACTGGGTGGGGTTGGGCGTGGAATTGCGAGAGTGCTCTAAATACAGCAGCACATACAGGCCCGGCTTGAAGAGTGGAATGGCTGAGTCTGTGGTGAGATCATCAAATCCTGGCTTAATGGAGCAAGAGCCGCACAGCGTCATGCATCAGAAGCAACCTCCCCCCCCCCCCCCCACGCTTTGCTTCCTGCTCCAAGTGAGCGAACAAGTAAGCCAGAGCCCAACCGAATGCAGCTTCCTGTTACACCCCAATCAGAACCATGGTTAATGGCTTCGAGCAAGATAGGGTTTGGAAGCCAACTTTGAACCATGGCTTTAAATCTTGGCTTGTTCGGAAGCCATTAACTGTCATTTCCGGTTCACCTGTAATGGGATGCTGTGCTTAATCGCAGCTTCTGAATGTGTCTTTTCCCTTGTTCTAATGGAGCAGTGAAGCAAGAGGAAACAGGACTCATGCGGTTGATGCGCATCTTGGCTTATTTAGGCCGGGTTTGAGCATTCAAATTGGCCTTTACGAGCATGTTGGAAAGGGGAGGGATTGGATGTGCTACATGTAAGAAAGGATTAGGCATGTGGTTCTGGTCAGTGAGGGCAAAAATTGCAAACATGATTTAACTTTGTGCTGAACTGTTCAGTGCTTCATTTATGCAGCTGCTTGGGAACAGGAAATCAAACAGTTAGGTAGTACTTTAGTATCATATAGCAGTGATTAAAACTTCTGCTTATAGTGCTTATCAAAAAAAGGTGAACTTGCACTAGTATGTATGATGTAAGGGAAGAGAATCAGGATACTTAAAACCTCTCTTGCCAGGACAGAACAAGTTCAGCCCCTTTGTAAATGGTAATTTTTGTTTACTTTTATATAGACTTGTGTCTGCTTTTTGCTTTCTGACCTAGTTCACTGTGGCATAGAGACATGTTTGTTACCTAGAACTGTTATCTGACATGACCAGAAAAATGATACTGTTACATTAACTACTAGGTGTATAACTGGTTGTCTTTTAAAAAAAAAAAGTTTAAAGTCCCATTTCATATAGGAAAGATTCCCCCCTAGCACTGGAAAAGGTTAAATATGAAGCAAGAAGTATAGGCAGATCTAGGCATGAGATAGGGTTAGCTGTTTTGTCAGGGCTAAAAGGCCCAGTTCCCCCTGTAATCTGAGACAAGGGTAGGACAGGCAAACTCCTGAAGGAAGCAAGACTGCAATGTGTAAAAACGGGAATTTCTAGTCTAACTGAGTCATGGCAGCTGCCCAGGCAGGGCTGTGGCTGGTCACGCTTGACAGCAAGTGGGAGGTGGAGTGGGAGGAAGGAAGTCTGCATGAATATATCACCATCCCGTAACAGGTTTGCAGCATCTGTGATAGGCTGCCGTCAAGGCCTGCGCCTGCTGCTAGCTGGGGAATGCTGGGAGTTAGTTGTAGGACTTCTTCTTCTGGTCTAACCTTGCATAGCCGATGTCCTTAAAAGTGCGGGGGCTGATTCTAACAGCACATCTGCAAAGGCTGCATGGTTTTCCAAAGAAGACATGGCTTATAGGGGAAGAAGGCCGAATTGCTCACAGGGCCCTTGGCAAGGAAGTTGGCCATAGAAGGAAGGAGGGATTCCTCTTGGCTTTCTGCTATGAGGACACAGTGGGACTTGCCCGCTGATGTTCAAAATCAGAGGTAAGAACCTGATGGAAAGGATGCTGTTTCCCGCATCCTAGACCCAAAGTCAGCAGAGGGTGAAATCTTCCTTACCTTACAGTGCAAATTGGAAATTAATCATAAGTAGCTTTTTTCTTGCCTGTTGTAAGCACTCAGAATCGAGTGAAGCTCAATGAAGGGTCTTGTAGCTGTGAAAATAGCCCTCCAAAACTGGGAATAGGTTTATGGATAAAATAGGAGTGGAGTCCTCCAGGAACTTCAGAATTAATCTCTTTGCCTGGGTGAATGCAAAGCACCTCTTCGTCGTGATGCACCTGCAGTCCGTGATGTGCCTTAACTGGATGGATGCTGGCGGTATTCACAGATTATGTGACTGTATGGACACCATGCTCAGCCTCTGTGGCCCTCCTGCAAGTGCCAACTCCGAGGGAGGTGCAAAGGGAGAGCTTTCTTGGTGGCGGCCCCCATTTTTGGAATAACATCCCTACTGCTTCCTGGCTGGTACAAATCCTTTTGGCACCAGGTTAAGACAGCCCTCTTTTCTGAGACTTTTAAAGACTTATGCAGCCACCTGGGGGCTTGAGGGGATCAACAAGTGTTTCACAGAGTGACTTGGACTCTTTTGTTATTCCTTATTACTGTCTGGTTTTAGCTGTTTAAAACATCTTAATTTTTTTCCTGATTTTATGATATATTTATTGTATTGTCTGTTTTTATGAACCATTTATACTTCCCAGAGAGCTTTGGCTGTGGTGGGATATAGAAATGATATTATGATGGGAGGTGTCAAGAATCTGTAGGGATAATCATCATTACCTTCTTAATGTTTGGAACTTTTCAAGGGTTCAGGCTTCTTCACATGCATTATCTCAGAACAGCAAACGAGTTTATATTGCAAAGCGGGAAACCAAATCTGAGGGAGGATTGTGTAAAGCCATCTAGTGAGGTCGTGGCAGAGGTGAGATTTAAACCAGGAATGTTCTGATTTGTAGCTTTGCCTCATTAGCTACCTGCCGTGCTTGACCAACTTTCTCTGAAAGTGGCTCTCGCTGGAGAAAAGGTCATTAGGTTTTAGCAGGCCCATAGTTTCAGGACTCCCTGAACATTAAGTATGTGATGCCCTCTCCTTTTTGTATGAGACACAAATTATTGATAGTTATTTTATGTCACATCAGTTCTAGACATCTTGTTTTCCACTCTGATCAGCAAATAAAAACAACATAGAATGTGAGTGAGTGAATGTTGTAAGTATTCTAGGCTGAGATCTAAAGCTAAGGTCAAATGAGTGTGGGAGAATTCTTTAATATTTACAGAATTTGTAATATTTGCTGACCAACCTGGCGACAAACCTTGGGTATCTGCTGTGCATAATGGAAGAAGGTTGCTCTCCATCCCATTTCCACTTCAGTCCTTTGGTTCATTGTACCTAGATTTTGATGCTCTTTTGCAACGTCACGAGCACAGCCTTTTCTAAATATAGTTGTCTTGGTATTATTACTGCATTTCATCGGTATCCTGCTCTTTTTCCTCTTGTGAGGCACTCAAGGCCTTTTATCCTCCTCATAACAGCCGTGTGAGGTAGGCTGGGCTGAGAGCAAGTGACTGGTCCGAGGCTATGTAGTGGTTAGAACCTGGCTCTCCCAAGTTCTCTGTGCATCGCTTTAATCACCACACTGCCTCTCTTGCAACTGTTTCCAAAACTGGTGCTTAAAGTAGTCCATATGTTGGAATACATACACGAAGCTGGACTGTGGGTTTCTAAAACAATCTGCATTTGGTCACTAATTTAGTTTGGTTTTGCAATAGACCTGATCCTCCATTTTCTATAGGCTTTCTCCTTAGAATCTAATCAGGAGCCATTCAATCAGATCAGTTCCTCTCCTGGTGGAATCAACCGAGATTTTAGATGGGGATAAGAGCTAGGTCTCTGAAAACATTCCAGGGTGAAAATTGTGCCCCACATTGGAAAATGTCAAGTTAACAAAAAGTCTAAACAAGCAGTAATTGTGGCCCTAGTTCCAGTGTAGTTCATTTTCTTCTGAAATGTCGGGTCTTCTGTATAAAAACTGAGGTATGTGAAGCCTTCTCTGTTGAAGAGGGCAGTTGACTGGTAGCAGCTGATTTTCAGTATTTTAATAGGAAACAGGAGATAGTATGGTTCAATTGGCTGAATCTGACCTTTTAAAGCTTCTACTGCAATTTAGCATTTGTGAGGAAAATCAAGGTGATTTTTCTTGGTCTAGGTTAATAAAGAAACTATCACACATTATCTCTTGATCACATGAATGTTATACTTGTAATAATGTTGGTTTACTTCTTGATTATGATTTTGATATTTTTTCCTGTTATGCTGATTTTACCATCTACTTTTGTGGGTTAGAATAAGGGGATTACAAGTACACTCACATATATTGTCCCGTTCCTAGTGCGTTTCTGTTTGTTTAGTTCTGTAGCATACGGTTCTTTGCATGTTTAATTTGCCATGACGTGGACAGTGTTTCCTTCCTGCTGCATACAAGCCGGTGTTAAAGATAAGAATACAGCAGTGTTGCATTTTCAGAGTGCTGGAAAAAAAGATCCAAAAATCTTCTTGTTTAAGAACAGGGAGAAGGCTTTGATGCAGCTTTAGGAGCTTCCTTATTTATAATGCACTTTAAGAATTTTATAAAGAGGCTTATTGTTGATTGGACAGCAGAGGAGCATTGCAATTTGGAACTGCTTGTAAGGAAGAAAACTACTTAGATCAGTAGCCTTTGTGCATGTTCACTTTTCTGTTTGGTAGCTCACTTTGTTAACAAAAAGAAAAGCTGTTGTAGAAGGCACATGTTTCATAATTTTGCAAAAGCCAGTCATTTCTAGATGTCTCTTTTAAGCAATCTTCATAAACTGGTAGACTCAGCATTATCTATATTGATCTTATTTTATAATTTTATTACTGTTGTTGATTCAGCTTTGCTTTTGTTTTCCAGTGGTTTCTGGATGAGACGTGTATTCAAGGAGGCATTTCCTAATTCATCTGTCTTTGTGAGTAATAAGTCCTGGAAGACTGTACGAGAACTGTTTACTGGACACCAGCCTGACCAAGGTCTTTAGCCTCACGCAACTCTTTCCTGGTGAAAGACACTTTTTCTTTGCACCGAAGGACCACTTTCATTCCATGTGGAACTGAGACCGTGGAATGCTCTATTATGGCAGCAGCTGTACAGCAGAATGATCTGATGTTTGAGTTTGCCAGTAATGTCATGGAGGATGAGCAACAGGTAATGTTCAAGAGCCACCAGATAATCCCAAAGGAACATTAAAATGCTTTGCTGTCTGTTTTCTTTTGAACTTTTCGTTGCTCAGGGCAATCCTGTGAACATTTTAAATGATTTTCTAGTGCATGGATGTTATGAGTACTTCAGGCTGCAATCCTATGTATCTTTAGCCAAGGAAAAAACCTCCTAAAACTCCCAGCATTCCCAACAAGGTAGGCTTTGTGGACATTTTCCTTTGTATTCGGGCATAGGACTGCGTTCTCAGTTGACTAGTTGATTCCTGAGGACCTTCTGACATCCAGAATCCTTAGGATACTTAGTTTTCCCCTTCCCTGAGCAGAGTAAGCCTTCTGTGCCACTTTTCTTTGGAGGGGAGAGCCTGGAATCTTGTGGAGTCTGCAGTTAGTTTTATTTACAAATGTTTGGGCTGGATGGTTGTTATGGGAATCCTCATGTTTTAATGTGCCATCAGATCATCTCAACCAATGATGACCCTGTTAATGAATGTCCTTAACAGACCTCATCAGCTCTTCTTTTATGGAATCAATCCATCTCAGATTTGGGATTCTGATTTCTTCTGTCTTCAACTTTCCCTGATATTTTTGTCTTCTCCAATGAGTCCTGCCTTCTCATGATGTGCCCAGCTTACAACTTTTTGGGAATGCAAGTAATCAAACAGGCTGTACCAGTTCTGAAGAAATCAGTTCAGCTGTTGAAAAGTCAGATTGTCACTCAGCACACTAAATTCTTGAAATGTCACCTTCTGTATTTCTCTAGTGCATACTTTTTGGATTTTTAAAAAGTTATTTCAGTCCCTAGTCTTGGTCATGTGCTGTAGCCTTTAGACCTAGGATAGCAGTTTGTATAGTGCAGAGAAACAATCAACGCATTTATTAGGTTGTGTCCTGAAGATCAGTTCATATTGCAACAAATGCCCCTTTTTGCTCAATTGCTTTTTGAAATCCAGTTTGTGTGTGTGTGTTTTGGGGATATTACATTGCTAGGAAAACATTTCTTTGACTGGAGCCATTGCAGTTTGCAGAGGAGTCTGAATTGTGCTATGTAGGACTTAAAAACGATGATTGGACAGTGCCCGTGACACATGAATGTCCAGAGGCACCCTGCTTGCATGCCATGAGGTGCAGATCCTTACTCCCCCCCCCCACCCCAAGAAAAAAGAGGTTGACTATGGCCGACCAAACCAAAAGCTCTTTCCACATCCTTTTTCTGCATTAGTAAAACCACAGCCATGACAAGAACCCCTTCAGGAAATGAGAAAGCATACCATTTTATCACAAAAGTATCTGATTATATTCTTGCTTCTCTTCACGTTAATGAATGATAATTAAAAAAGAACAAAAGTTTGGAAAGGAGAAAGCAGTGTTTCTGTCCCCTTCCTTCGGTATCCCCTACCTGTAGGATATGACTGGAAGGAGTCCAAGTTTGAATCCCTGGTCAGCCATTGCTGGGAGACTTTGGGACAGGTTCCTTGCCTTGCAACCGATGCTGCCTCCTAGACTGGATTCACACAACATGGCAAGCCATGGTGGTTGGAGGTGCTGTGTGAAGCTGGACCATTTTCTGGAGTTTGCCTTAGAGCATCCATCTTCCCTGACAACCCCTGTCTTGTTGCTTGGACTGTTGTACACAAGACGTATTTTCATGTCTTAACCCCAGGTGACTGATCCCATTGTAGGTCCAGAGAGGGGGCAAAGGGGCCGCTCGGCACCAGCGGTGCTGCGGTGGAGGAAATGCCATTGGCTTGGTGTCCCCTTTGCTGATTGTGAGCCCCTTTGAGCTGGCTGTCCCCTCTCCCTTTTATTTTTTGTTTCCCCAGAGATCCCTTTTTGTGATGTCCGGACTGAAGCCACTGACACCCTCCCCAAAATTCCCAAGGACGATTATTTCTGTAGGTGTGTGCTTGTGTGAGATGGAAATGGAAGGCCTTCACGTGAGAATGTAAGGGAGGGAGGGGTAAAGCCACGTATATTTCCCTGTGTGCTCCTCAGAGGGGCAAGTGAGGGATAAATATGAGGAAAGGAACATGAATAATACTTAACAGAACTCTATTACAGTGTGGTTTTTGTACAGATGATGGGGATATCTCAGGTACTCTGAAGAGAACACCCAAAGCAATGTTTTCCTTTCACTTTCACTCTGCTTTCTTTCTTTCTTTCTCTTCAACATTTGCATGTGACTTTATTTGCTGTAAAATACAGGGTGGTGGTGGTGGTTCTTGTTGCGCACCGTCAAATGGTCTCTGACTTGTGGTCCCGCAATGAATGGAAGCCCTTCACAACGTCCTGCCCTTGACAGCCGTGCTCAGCTCTCGTAAAACTGTGGCTTCCTTGATGGAGTCCGTCCATCTCGTGTTTGGTCTTCCCTTCCTTCTTCCACCTTTGGACAGACCTAGCTTGTCTGTCTTCTCCAGTGCATCTTGCCTTCCCGCGATGTGCCCCAGGAATGAATTTCCAGGGAATGTTCTGGCTTGATTTGATCTAGGACCCACTTGTTCATATTTCTGCCAGTCCGGGTATTCACAAAGCTCTCCTCCAGCACCATGTTTCAAACACGTGCATGTTCTCTATTCCAGCTTCCTTCACTTCCAGCCTTCACACCCATATATAGCGATTGGGAACAATAGAGTATGACCTACCTCCAAGAAAGCCTGGGTTGGTAGAAACCTGGGATGAGGCCTTTTCTGTAGTAACATTTCTTCCTCCCCTGGCTCCATCTTTGTTTGTTTGTGAAGGGCTCATTAAAACATTTTTCTGCTCCCAGCCTTTGAATACTTTGAAATATAAGCCATTTCATTGTTTGCTTTTAAAAATGGTTGTCTCCCAGTCTTAATTTCTTTACATTTTTGATATTGTATTCAAGTTTTTAAAGTGTATGTTTATTTGGAGGCCTTTTCTGGCCAAAAGGCAATTCATTTATAATTGCATAAAGAAAGGAAAAAGAAAAAAAAATGAAAAGAACACTTTCTTCACATTTTATGTGGTAGTTCTAATTCTCATCACAAACCATTAAAATAAACCATGCATTCTTTTTGTGGATGATTGGTGATTAGTAACCCATAATCAGTTTCATTGGTTGTTTAATTATGGATTCTCATTATGTGAGAATTCAAAACTATGGTTGTTAACCACAAACTATCCATGAAGAGAAGCTATAGTTTTTTGTTGGGTTGTGAATTCTAAGTTATTTAAATCATTTCTGGTTGTTACATGCGAACCTTGGAACTTGGGTTGTTCATGTGGTTTTGCTAGGCTACAGTGCTGTAAAGGCATGTGGGTTACAGGATGAAAGGAGGGCAAGAACCAAATTAGCTAGGGATTTTAAAAAATGGATTGCTGAGTTGTTTGGAAACTAAATCATGGGTTAATTGTGGATAAGGCAAACAAAGATGGCCAATTAAACTATGGCTTCTTGTTATGTGTGAACCAGGTCAGTTTCAAAAGCACCCACATTCCCATCAGGCTGCTGTTAGCCTCAGGGAGACACACCAAAAGATCAAGGGGAATTGTAGATTGTAGCAGTCTTACAATCTATACTTATGGTATCCATTTCCACCAGTTGCTCATCTGTTTTGGTACAGTGAAAGGTTTTGATGGGGAGAATTACATATGCAGAACTGAAAGGTTTTGCTTCTGTTTCTCATTCTGGTCTTTTCTCCCAATGGTCTGGCTCTGTTCTTGGTTCATCTCATGCATAGTCTGGTTTAGAAAAGTGAATATCTGTTTATCAGACCTAGAAGCTAAAACCTGAAGCATGATTATGTAGCAGTAAAGACTTTTGCTGACAGGACTATAAGCATATAGGAGGGTTCCTTATGCCAAGCCAGACAGTTTATCTGTTCGACTGAACTGTCACTAACTTACTTCCTGGGGAAGGCTGGAACGACCCCCTCAGATGTTCAGAAATCGGTTACCTGTAAGTGTCTAGAGCCATTAATGACGGACGGCGATATAAGTATTTTGGGGATTAAACAGTCCTGGAAAATAGAGATATCCAGGGACCCATGACACAAATTCTTGCCTCCAGCCTCAACTGTTTCCAGCTAAAAAGCAAATAAGATGAATTGCACCTTGTTCACTGTTCCTGTTAGGCTTTTATCCTTCTCATATTTTAAGCTTGAAGAGTTGATGACACACCTGGCAGAAATCACAAAATGGTTTTGCAAGTTTTTAGTCCTCCAAGCAAATTCCCACATCAGCTGGCAGTCTGCAGCTGCTTGCCGTGCTTCTCTTACCGTCGGAGTTCTGCTGTGGAGGATGCTAGACCAGCCTTCGCCAGCCTGGTGGTCTTCAGAGGCATTTGGACCACAACTCCCAGAATTCCCATCCAGTAGGGCCATTGATTCTGGGTATGTCTGGAAGGCACAAGGTTTGAGAATACTGGTCTGGACCCTCACTTGCAAAGCAAAGTAACTGGTACATGCATATTTTTGTAACCGGTTCCTTTATACTTTCTAGTGCTTAGTGAACCTACTGAATTGTGCTTTGCACAAATTACCCCTTGCAAAGAAACGATGCACCATCGGATGCAAGCCAGCAAGGATTTTACTGCCTAATTCAAATTATAAATAGCATTCATTCCTATTGTTGATGCTTGGTTTTTCTGCTTTCAGCATAACAAGTACCTCCTGTTCCCCTCCTTTTTTCCCCCTTTGGTGTAACTTTGTCATCTGCATCCATTATCAGCGGTGCTTTCTCTGAGCTCCTGTTCTTTACAGATTACTCCCTCTGGCTTTCTCCTCAAGCCCTTGCCTTCTCTACCCCACTTCATAGGTTTTTGTGCCCTGTCCTTCTGATCACGGCTGCCTGTTTCGTTCTAGTATAAATTCTCCAGCGGCAGGCCACTGGATCATTAATTCGCAAAAGAGGCTCCTGGAAATGTCTCTTGTTTGTACAACTTTCATGGAGCCAGTTGGCCTTCTGCTGCTGCTCTCAGTTCACAGTTGAGCCCCAGCCTTGACGCTGCTGCTTTGAGTGGGGGCAGTC